GCCCAATGGCCGCGGCTTGCCTGGCTACTTGCTGCGTGCAATTACCAAGTAATGCTGGTGGAGGGGTCGCAGTATGGCTCTTGTCTTGTGGTTGCTGTTGTTTGCGCGCTGCTTCGGCATCTTTGACCCCCATTTTGCGAGCTTTGACTCGATCGGCTTTGGAGTGCGCTTTGGCAACATCACGCAAGTCTTCTAGATCGCAGTCTCCAAACTCGACTACTTGTGATCGGTATTCCTTAACCACGGCGCGAGTGTGCTTGAGAGCCTTTTCTTCGCAGCTGTATCCCTTTTGGTAGTTCTCCAGACCTCGCCAGGAGAGTTCAGACTCTTCTAGTTGTTTCTTGGGGCAAAGCTTGGCGCGAGTGATCTCTTGGCTGACTTTGATCTGAAGCTGTCTGCCGTTGTACCAAACTGCGGACTTGCAATCACTTGGAACGGATTCCACTGTGTGAGTGGTGGATTCTCCAAAGCTTACTTGCTTGCCAGCAGGATTACTGGAAGAGCTCATGCTTTTGTTGCTGGTGGGGGCTACTCGTACCATCTTGTTGGATTGTTGCTTGTTTGCCTCTGATCAGAATTGAAATTGTGAGATTACTTCTTCTCAACCTCATTTATTTCCTGCTTCACAACAAAGAGTACCTCGGTACCGATTCTCAAGGCCTGCTATTAAAACTATGGGAAGCTAGGCGCGGCGGCAACATTAATCATGTCAAATAAAGTGCATAGGGCACTTGAGGATGCGTAAACTGCTTTTGGCGGCAAGGACCTAACCAATGCGGCCCCGACAACAGATGCGTTCGCACGTTCAATAAATCATTGTTTCCATCTTTTCGTCGTTGTGCACGATAGGCTCTACTGAATCACTATAGATGATCGGGTTTTCGTGAGAATCTTGGCAAAGGATCGTGCCAACGGTGAATATAAAATCAACTCCCGCAGCTTCCCTGCACAGCTCCCAATAATATTTCAAAGCTGCACGGAGCCACACCAATTACCGGTACAGTCAGCCCTCTCTCTTATTTATGAGGGGGTATCCTGGACTTTGATAAATATAATGGAGGGCATAAATATAAGCGTTTTCTAGGGCCTTATTTGCTAGTAAAGTTCGAATGAAGGGAGCTATCACGCTTTCGCTTGCCTGCCTTAGCAGCCCAATCCGCGTCGTTCATGTTGGTCTAGGTCGGATTGGAGCCTTTGGTATGGTTTGCGTGAAATTGTTTGGCAGCTCACAAGAATTGTTTTTGTCTGGTCAAAACCATCCTTCCAAAAATGCACGTAAGCAACCAGGGCTTGGGCTGGCACCGACGAGACAGCCTCTGAGAGGTGCGTGCAGAGGTACCGCAGAGGTGCGAGGAATCCCACGTCCATTGGATCTATATCGGCATTTTACATGCCATCTCGGTCAAATTGAAACGGTTGGAATGGATTGTGCGACGTTGTCGGGCTGCTCGAAAGATTTGTTGCTGCAGTCACGGTCACTCATGACTGCAGTCACGGTCACTCATGACTGGGGGGGGATCTCGAGATTTAATAAATATAATAGAGGGAATAAATAAGAGATTATAAATAAGAGCGAGGGCTGACTGTATAGTATTGGTAGCATCCAAACAACGTTAAAACTGCTATGATGGTCGTAAGATCCAATTACCACGCTAAAGCATTCCAAAGCACTTTCGTCCTCTGCCAGGAAGACAGCTTTGGATACGAGGTAGATGCGGTAAAACGTATTCTTGATTCAAATATGCAGAGTAAACTGTATGCTTAACCCTATATTTACCGTACCTACCCTTCTGGTACGAAACTGAACAGACACGGTCGTCCGTACCGGTACCTACGAACAGTCCCACAGTTTCAGTCCCGGAGCACTAATGAGCGCTCATTAGTGCTCCATGGCGCACTAACCAGGGGAAGGGACACTCGGAGCCGAGTGAGTAACCTTGAAGGCGATATTAGAATTTCATAGCTTACCCCCGTGTGGGTCTGAAGTATAAAGTGAAGTTGAGTTTACGCGGTGTGAAAGTACGTGAAGGATTAATCAATCGGAGAATGCGGTGAACAGATATTTTTAGGGTTAAGATTATTTTGCTGCTGCGCTGCCTAGCATATGTGTGACTCCGTCATTTTTTGTTTTCGTTTTTGGTTTTTTTGTAGAGTCTTGGAATTTGGATTGAGTGATTGCACAAGATATGGATACATTGATTGTTGTCTGGGGTGGTAACAATTCCATTTCTGCAACTTAGGAACGTCACCATTTTGGAATCCTATGCCCATTGGGCATGAGTTTCAAGGACGCGTGAATGTGATTGCGTAGGCATTCTGGGAGCATGGGTTTTTAGAGGTCGCTGGAATACTTCATAGTGTCTGTAGCACTGCAAAACAATTCACTGTGGATATCACGATCCCAGCTTTCAACCAAGTTAGGAGACCTTCAATGTCTGTGAGTAGAGACTATTCGCATTACGAGTGGTTGTGAGTTGTGTGACTTTAACAATGGCACTTTTGGCAAAAATCGGGAAGTTAGTCTTCAATTTGGGGTCATACATGGCACGAACAAGGCCAGGGGCATCATCAGTTTCCTTTTTGAAGAGGTATTTGAAAGCTTCATGGCCAATAACTTCGAGCACTTTATTAGCAATAGCTTCGCCTGCTCCACAATCCAGAGGGATTCTTCACTAACAGATGAAAAGTTTTCGACTGGAATGGTGAAGGTAGTCCACATGGAAAAGAAATAGTTAGTGCGACCTTTGCCTTGTTTGTCTTCATTTCATAATTCAATAGATTGCTTATTGCGGGAAGGATCATTCACGTCCACAGTGTGGCAAATAGCAAGCTTTTTGAATGCCTCATTAATCGTGATGCTCTCATCCGGGTAGGAGTTGGTCCAAAGCTTGAGGCATGGTGCGATATGTTCCACTTTGAAATACCAGGGCTGGCCATTGTACTGATCAATGGGTTTCATGACCAGGCATGCAATAGTGGCTGTTGAAACAGTCTTGACAAAGACTTCCAATCGCTTGCGTCTTTCTTTCTTTTCTGCAGAAGCATAAATTTTTTCAGCCATCCTTTCAGCCTCAGACGGTGTTGGTTTGTTAGGAGTTACAAGACGAACTTGAGCAGCAGCCGTGGGAGCGGGTTTCACCATGGTATCAGCAAGTGTTTTGAGCTTCTTTTGAGCAGTGTAACAAATGCTGTTTTTGTCTTGATGATGGGGACTTCACCCATTTTATTTATACTTATAACCTTTCTCAACTCCAGTGATCAAAATGGGCTGTATTGCTTTTTGCAATCTGGAAGAACAAATGTTCCGGTTTGTTTTTTCTTCTCTTCAGTAGATTTAGCAGCAGCCGCTTATAGAGTTGGGCGTTTGCATCAATGTCTAGATGCTCATTGTTATTGCTAAGTTGGCAATGGTTTTTTAGCAGCAATTCCAGCAACATGGCTGCAAATTTCTGGTAGTTTTCATCATCAGAAAAAGTCATTTCCGTCAGATTGCTCAAGAATGGTAGACTTGAAAGGAAATGATGGTGAAGAAATGTGTTGAATGCTGTGCACAATGGGCACTGTATTCAGTTGGTTATTGGAATAAGAAATGAAGGAAATGATTGCCAAGCAATGTTGAATGCTGTGCACACTGGGCACTATATTCAGTTGGCTGTTGGAATAAGGTCTCAGTAAATGAATGTGTGCACAATGGGATTGAGGTTCACTTGATAGAATTAGTTTTTGTTTTACTGATCTTGATTTTATGAGATAATGAGTTCCAGAGTCTGAAATAGCAGAATTCGCAATGTAGTGCGTACTACCATTATGTCAATTCCGATTCTGATTGAGTCGTGCGTGCGTACGTTGAACGTGTCAAATCGTGGTGCGCGCGCGCGTGTTCCGATTCTGATTGAGTCGTTCGTGCGTACGTTGAACGTGTCAAATCGTGGCGAAACGGCGCGCGCGCGCGTTCGTCGCTGGTCGTTTTTTTTTGTTTCATCAGAATTCCTCATAAATTTCATTTGAGAAAGTTGTGAAGGCGAAAGCTATGCTTGAAAGTTGACAAGATGGCAAAGACCTTGTTTGATAAGCATAAAGCAGAATGTGTATATGAATTGATGCTGGCAATGGGAATCATTATGTGGAGCTGGTTGGGCGAAAACTGATGTTGAATGGTGCAGGTAAATGATTATTTGAGTGCTGGGTTAGGATTGTGCACAATGGGCATGAAATTCATTTTTTTGAATGTCATGCCCAATGGGAATGATACTCATTGACTGACACATCTTTGGTTTCCCTTGTATTCATTTAGCCAATAAGCAGAAGGTTGTTATACCAGAGAGGGATTTCATTCCTTTGGAGATTCGGGAAGTGGAATTTAAAGCAATTGATAGCATTGAGATTGCAGTGTTGAGTTGTGATAGTCCTATTGCATTGAACTTGTTGGTCCAGAATGGTGGTTTTAGCAGGCAAGTGATGCAACCATGGGCAAATCATAGATTCCTGAATCCAATGGCTTTGTATGAGAAGACTGTGAGCATTGAAGAAACTGCAGGATCCTTTGATGAACAGCATTCTGTTTCCTGATTCTGAACGCTATCTGGATAATGGTGGAAACTTCATGAGCTATGGTGTATATCAGATTGAACCTTGCGAAAACAATGGTACATTAGAGTGGTTTGAAGAAAGTCGCTCATTGTGTCCATTGGCAGCACCATGGTTGACAAATGATAAACTTACAGCAGTGTTGAAGGGCTACAGGGTATCAAAGGTGACTCCTGCAGGCTTTGAAAGGACTCTGGAGTTTTTTGGTTTGGAGAGAAGTGCACCAGGAAGTGATGTGAAGAATGAAGAAATCTGTTCTTTCATTGCTTTTATTTCTTCTTTCAAGATTGGCGAAAAAGAAGGTTTCTTGGCCTTATTGGAAAAATGTCAAATGAATGGCATTTACGAGTATGATGAATCTGTGTCACATGACACCAATTTGCGGTATTTCGAAGATTTTGTCCAGGCAATGTGTCCTCTACGATTCTTTCTGTATGATGGTCAGCATAGAGCAGTTGGCTTGAAATGCTATTCTGAGAGAATTGGCGAGTGTCGCGAAACTCTTCCAGAATTTGGGAATCTGCTTCCTGTGTTCAATGTACCAGACGATGTTGCAAAATACAAGTTGAAGAGTAACAAACAGAATTTTGACCCAAGAATCACCTTGGACAAGCGTCATGTCTGGTGTCATGTTGGGTTTGGCGGAAGCTTGAGTTTGCAAGATCAATACGAAGTGTTCCGGAATATGGGCGCGGCTGTGACTTCTGCAGAAAATCGGCGTGTGAAGTCAAATCTCCGAGATGATGCAATCCAGTATTTTGTGATGTTGAGAGCCTAAATATGAACCTCAATCAATCTTGTCAATTGTTGATAACAATGGTACCCCAAAACATATTGGAAGTGTAACTGGGATGTGTTGCAAGGAGATTGGTTCAATGGCAAACTCTGGTTTCGTCATTGGAAAAAAGTAAGTGTGAAAAGAATTATGCATTTGTTCTTTGCCTTTTGGGCCTGAATTTGGTGCCCATTGGGCATGATATTCAGGTAAGATATTAACCTTTGTTTTTTAGTTCTTGATAGACAGGCACAAATTAGATGCAGTGGTTCCAGATAGTGCCCAAAGTTCAGATGTCTTTTTTCAAGCGCTGGAGTGGGTTTTCTCGAATGAAAAAGTTTGTATCCATTGACCCACAGTGACCGCATCATTATCAAGGTGGGCAAGAGTGCAAAAAATGAAGATGGTGACAATTTCTTGTCTAAAGACATGGCAATCAGCAATGGTGTTGAGGTTTGGTTTGCTTTCAACATGTTTGCTTTTATGCATCCTGGAAACGCCAATGATTTTCTTCGATTTATGCAAGGAAATTGGCTTAATGTGAAGTGTCCTCAGTTCAAGTTGGAACAGACTGCTGCAAGGAACCTGGCTTGGGTAACCGATATTTTTTGGATTCGACGAAACATTTTTCATGTTGCTTACTCCAGTGTTGAGCCACTGTTCAAGCGTGCTATGGTGGAGAAAGCAATGCTGCAGATAATTATGTCAAACACCATGGCCAAAGAGAAAAAGGATGCACCTCCATTCCTGTTTGTGAAGGACATGAGTGTTGTTGCTAGCATCAAAAGTGACTTTGAGGCAGGCAGGTGGGCTGAAGGGCTGTCAAAGATGCCAGCGGCTTTTTCACTCAAAAAGGGTGTTTTGGGAAGGTTGAACGAGATTGTGAATTCACGACTCCGGGTTGCAAATTCTATAAAAACAGACAGGAAGATCAGATTGAGCTTATATCAAGTTTGCATCAAGGGTATTATTCAATCAATACTGAAGCACGGTATCTCACCTTTGATCAATCAAACAAAGTTTCGAAATTTGAACTACAGGTTTTACAGTGGGTAAGTTTTTGAATATGCGTTTGAATATGGTGCCCAACGGGAATGAGATTTGCTTCTTCGTTTTGCTTATCTAACAATTCAATTCAGTGGCCGTGGTGACCTGAAAATTAAGCCATTTTGGAAAGTTCCAACCTTTGCCTATAATCGAAGTATGTTACCAAGAGAGAAGAGCAATGCAAACCATGGCATGACGGGTATTATTAATATGTATCCAGAGAAAGTTCGATCATGGTTGGACTTTGAAGCATTGAATTTTCAAATATTGATGCCTTTGGTGAAGACAATAACCAAAGGTGGTGGCAAGATACAATGGAGGCATGGCATTATGCCTTTCGAAGAGGAAAGTTTTGATGCCCTGTACCCTGAAGACATTAGACCGGATGTTTTTATTGATCAATTTGTTGCTGGTGAGATCAATGGTGATGATGCCAACATGTTTCCAAGTTGGTGCAAGCATTTCAAAACTATTCTGTATGGTAACAAGGATGTGATTGCCTCTTTTGATGATGAAGATGGTGTGGAAAAGGTGAAGACACCAATGAAAGGAACCAAAGATGATGATGGTGAAATGGAGGATGATGATGACGAAGATTATGATGGTGATGGAAAGAAAGGAAAGAAGAAAAAAGGAGGAAAGGCAGGAAATAAGAAGTTACTGGAGGTCTCTTTCAGTGATGACCCTGGCTATGCAGCTGAAAAGGCGTTTGCGAAGTCCAAAAATTTGGTAAGTTTTCCATGGGTATCAGAATGAATTGTATGCACAATGGGCACCATTTTGATTTTTTTTCTTCTTTGGAAATATAGGAAGCACCAAGTAGCCCCGAACGAGAAAATGGTCGAACATTGACTATTACTGGTGCAAAGGTGTTTGAATCACTTGCAAAGGGTGTTTTGCATTCCAACTTGAGGCCATCTGAGAAAGGATCTATTATTGGTAATTTGGTTGCGTCAAATTGTATTAGTAAAATTACAATTGATTCAAGTAAATTGGGTGACTTGTTTGTTCGACAACAGAAGCCTGCCTCAAAGTTGCTGCAATTGATGAGGACTGTGGCAGAAAATCCTGAGCACGCTACATTGGAAAAGCCTGGAAAAGGTTCTGGCAAGGTAGTGTTTGAGGACAAAATCAACAACACCTTGGAGAACTTGGAACAATTGGCGAAGTGGAAGGTGGAGGAAGAAGATTCCGAGGGAGGAAAGTTTGATGATGAAGAGTCATCTTCAAGTGAAAGAAATGATGAGCTCCCTATTGTGATAACAGTTGCTGTGCCCAGAAAAGGAATCTCTGACCAGGTTGAAAACGAGAAAGAAGACAAGGACTCTGATGATGACGAAGATATTCCAAGTGATAGTACTTGCAGCATTGTGAATCCTTTTGATTTGTCATTGTCAGATTATCCAGAGGCGAAAAGCCTGGTTTGGGCCAATGTCCTGCACATCAATTCACGTTTCACAAAGAAAAAGGATATTTGGGAGAGAATTGTTGATGTAGCTAATGAAGGTGGGGATGGTGCAGAACCAACTAGTTTGACTAGTGGTTTATTAGCAGAGGTGTATGGGGAGAATGTAATCATTGCAATGATTGGCGAATGGTTGGATGAAACTGTTTTGCCTGTACTGAAGGCTGAAGCAACCAAATTGATCAGAGCCATTGTTGAGCTTGATCTGGTACTATGATGTTGTTGAATCTGGTGCACATTGGGCATGAAATTCAAAGCTTGAATTCTCACTACTTGTGTTTGTTTTATTCTTAGGAGATTAAAGTACCAAAGGCAACAGCTGTGTTGCAATCACCTCCAGACATTGCAGGAGTTCAAAAAGGAAGTTCGAAAAGTCATTGCTGAGGTGGAAGCAGGTCTGGCTTTAGATGAAATGAACAACTTGACAGAGCATGACAGTGATGAAAAAAATGATGGTGACGGAAAAGGCAATGGTCAGGATGATGATAGTGAAGATGAAGTCAATCCCAGAACAAAGGAAAACACAGTCATGGTAGAAAGCACAAAAACACCCCAAAAACAAAGGAATGTGAAGAAGCCAAGAACCTCTGAACGACCAAGCACAAAAACACCCCAAAAACAAAGCAATGTGATGAAGAAGCCAAGAACCTCGGAACGACGCAAGAATTTCATTCGACTTCCAAGAAAAGCAAACCCAAACCGAATCCAAAATCTTACACAAGTCATGCAAGTTGTTGGTGATTACAAAGCAGCAAGAGAACAATTGAACAATGGTTGTAAGGGTCCAAGACATGCTGCAATGGAGATTGAGGAGGAGTTACCAAAATGGGAAGCACAATTGGCCAAATTGTGGACGAAAAAGAATGAAAAGTTAGGCCTGTCAGGCCTGATGAATGATGGCAAACGTCCAAGGAGCAATAGTGAAGGAAGTGATGAGCTAATTAGTTCTTTTGCTAAGAAACCACGAGAAGGTGAAGCCCAAGAGGAAGAAGAAGACAAAACAAAAGAAAACCAAGAAGAAGAAAAGGAGGCCAGGGAAGGTAGTGAAGTTTCGGAGAAGAATGACCAGCCTGCAGATATGATGCAGGTTGATGGCGATGACAATACTGAATGAGTCACCAAGGTACCTGAGGTGTTCACTTTACTGATGTCATGGTAATGGAGGAAAAACAAAGTAGAAGGTTGTTGCTGATAGTCATAATTTGATATTGTGAAATATAATATGCAGCTATGAACCCAAAGAAGAAAAATTGAAACAAAGAGCTAAAGATAGGGCAAAATCTAGGGCGGTTGCTAAAGCTGTAAAGGTTGCTAAGGCAAAAGTTGCAAAGAATGAGAAGGAATCAATAGAAAGAGGAAGCATGAAAATTTGAAGGAGAAAAATGAAAATGAAGAAGGTATGTGCTCTGCATGAATTTGGTGCACAACGGGCATGAATTCATTTTTGATTGCCACATAGAGGGTTGAGTCTGGTGCCATTGGGCATGATAATCAGTAATTGAACAAACCATGTTCATTGTTTCAACTTTGTTATAGAGTGAAGGAATTAGAGGGTTTATTGGCTCCTGGTTTATCCCACCAAGGAAAGTATTCATGTTTCAGGGCGTTTGAAAAAAAGTGCATTGAAATTAAGCATAACAAATGTGAATGTGTAAACGGTTGCTATTGGGATGAAAATGGAGAACAAGACTTATTCTCACAGTGCAAAAAGCTAAATCCAAGTCATTTTATAAAGATGGTAATTCATTGCCTTTGTGGTACAATGAAAACAATGTGCTCAATTCTTTGTCCCTGAATGCTTGTTGAATTTGAGCATAGCAGAGAAAATGTTGATTCAGCTTGCTTCACTTTTGTGCCTCTGAAGCATATCAAAAATGGAATATGGGTTTAACAGGTCATGTTTGTGCCTTTGAGCAAGATATAGAAGCCTTTGCAACAGAACTGCCCAAAATTCCCTCGCATGTTACTAGTCTACAGATAATCAAAGTTGTTCAGGCTGAGATAGGGAGTGAGGCTTGCAGAGATGAACATTTCAAAGTCAGAAGAAAGAATGTATGGGATGCATTGAAATGGTTGAAGAAATATAATGTTGAATACAAGGATATATTACTGAAGGAGGAAAATCTGAGCTGGATTGAAGGTGAAGAGGGCATTTGGAGAGCACAAACATCCCTACTGGAGAAATTTAGAAACAGATGAGTTAAGGCTTTTGATGTGAATAATGATCATGGTCCTGTTCTAAATTGACACATCACTGCGAGATCATGGTGGAATTCTATTTTCGGGGTAAGAGATGAATCAAGTCGTGTTCACTTGTCCCAGGAAACCAAATTATACATGATGGAGTTGAAGAATCTATTGCTAAATCAGCAAAGAAGAAAAGTATTTCTTTGGCACATCCAAAGATTGCCAAGAATCCTATATCTAACATGGGGATACAAAGATATTTCAAGAGCTTTTCCATGGCTATTTCCAGGTGAATTGGTGATGTAAAGGATTTTGGTATGATTTTTCAAAATGGGGAAGTATATGTTATTCTACCAGGATGGAAGATTTGCCAGAGACAAATTATTTAGTTTTTATGCTGGGAACTACATTAAAAGGAATCGAAATGCTTCCAGTGGGAGTTGGTTATGAAAGAGTTCAACAAAGGTGGTCCATGTTCATTGGACGAGTTACAAGAAGCAATTGCTGAGGGAGACAATCAATTTGTAATCGACTCACTTATTTCACACGGAATGTAAAGGTTCTACAGCTTTTTGGTTCCAAAAAGGAGTGAGCTGTACACTTGGATTAATATCATGTTGAGCAAGGGCATGGGGCACCAATTTTTTCATAACACTGTCCTGTGCAGACACTTTTGGCCTGATATCATTCGATTAATAAAGATCGAATGGAGTTGGCAGATTGGACTCCAGCAAATGTGAACAAGGGCACCTGGATTGAGTACATATCTGAATGACTACTCTATTGTGATTAGGAGTATTTTCAAGAAAGAGTGAAATCTGGCTGGAGACAGTGGGAAAGAAGTTTTTGGCATAGAGCATTACTGGGTCAGGTATGAATTTGCTCCAGGTAGAGGTCAAATTCATGCACATTTACTGGCTATCACAAAGGATCAAACCATTCAGAGCTGTGTCATGCCCATTTAAATGTGAGAATGGGAAGAACAGAAGAGATGAGTGTTTGTCAAATTGGCAGAAACCAGGCTAGGACTTACTGCAATTGTGGATGATTCTTTTGAAACAAGAAACTGTGTAAATCAGATTCCCCATGTTCAATAAGATTCACAGATGTGGAGAGTACCATGGAAGATATGATGCCATGAACTTGATGAACTATTGCCAAGTCCATGACTGTAGTGGTTTTGTATGCGTGGGAAGCCTGGGTAAGATCAGTCAATCCCTGTTGAATGTAATGCCCATTGGGCACAGATCTCACAAATCTTTGTAGCAAAAGTCGCAAATGCAGGTGTGGTGCAGGTGAAGAAAAAACAAAGGGGAAATGTGATACACCCGGATTTCCCTTGAGAGAATCAGCTGAAATCAGCCGGGAAGATAACAAAGCATTCAAATTACATATGCCAAGAAATCATGCAGAGTAAATCAAACTTCCAAAGACATGCTGCAAAGTTGAGAGGCAACTGTGATATACAATTGTTGATTTACAGTTCATCACCAAAAAAACCAAATATACGTGAAATCAGTAGAGTGATGATTATGTTGTGGCATAAAATTGCAAAGGTAATGCCACCTTTTCCAAGAAAAACAAGCTAACCGAGAATTATTGCAGAGTCTTGATACTGTACAGGTGATACTGCAGATTTGAAAAGAGGTGTAAAAAGAATCTTGAATCGTTCTGCTACGCAACGATTGATCTCAAAACAAGAGGCATGTGTTTTACTTGAAACCTCCCCTTGACTTTGTGTTCTGAACTGATGGAGACAGTCAGTATTTCAAGAAGTGCTAAAGTGAAAGTTGACTCTTCAAATGCTGCAGATGGTAGATTCATGCAAGGTATAAGAACAGAGATGCCCAGTATCATCACATGACCTTGCATTATTTCTTTTCTTTCGAAAGAGAAGTACTTCAACGAAAAAAGGCTGCAATACCACATTTTGTTGGTGTAAGTGGATATCCAACATTTCCAGTGACAAAAAGTTATGCTATGCATGTGTTGACAGTATATAAACCTTGGCATGGAAGTTTTCCAGTGGACACTAATTGGAAAGCGGATTTTGACAACTTCATCAAATCCAAAAATTGTCCCCTCAATCACGATTGCAGTATGATCGTGTTGTACAACGTATTTTGATCGGACAGTCTTTGCAGAGCTACAAGCAAAGAGGCTGATCATTCCAAGAACAAAATAATTGAGGGTGATGAAATGTTGATTCTGTTGTGTGGTATGGGTGCATCTGGAAAAGCCGAATTTGATGATACCACTTTGCCAACATACAAAAAGGACTTGATTTTGAATGGGATAAGAACCAATAGTAAGTTCTGCCTTTCTGAATTTGTGCCCATTGGGCATGGGATTCATGCAAACATGTTTGTATTCTCATGTCAATACAGTCAAGGGATTTTGAAGACACAGATATTGACCAGAGGAATGGCTAACCAAAAAGTGCAAGAATCCATTCAGATTGAAAATGATACATTGATTGTTCCAAAAAAGTCAGATGGATCTGATTTCAGAATTGAAGACCTTTTTGAAGAACAGCAATACTTTGCCTTAATTGTTCTTACAAAGATTATGGAATGGTTGTACTGTGAAGACTTTTCTACATTTGAACCTTTGCGAACAACTTTGAATGGACAAGCTGGTACTGGGAAATCAGTGCTTTTGAATACAATTACAGCATGTATTCGATCCATGTTTGAATACACCAACACATGTGCTGTGACTGCACCTACAGGAGTGGCAGCATTCAATATTGGCGGAAAGACATTACATGGGTTTTCAGCCCAGAGATCAGTAAGAGGTGAATATGCTGCGGGTACCATGTCAAAAAAGATAAAGAATTCCTCAACAAGAGTTGAAGCACCTATTATGTGTATTATTGATGAACGCAGTTTGTTGACATCCAAGCTATTGGTACTACTGAGTGTCGTGTGATGGAAACAATTTACGAAGGTGGTGGGAGTGATAATGAAGATTGGGGGGGTGTTCCCATTGTGATTATGGCAGGAGATGACTATCAATTACCTGGAATTCATCAAGGCGCCTTCGAATGCTTGTATCGAAAAGATGGTGGTAAAATGACACAAAGGGGACGAAATTGTTTTGCTGCCTGTGCACAAAGAGTGTTCCAATTGCGCCAAATCAGAAGAGTTAATGACAAGAATCAACGAGACAGAGATTTACTTTCACGTTTAAGAATTGGACTAATGTTACTGATGAAGATGTTGCTAAATTGAAGTCACTACATCTAAATGAAATCAAGAAAAGCATGGTCAGGAAGTTGTTGAAAAAATTTGCGAAAATGCTATCAACCTTTTCTGGACAAATGATAAACGAATTCGCATGAACATCCAATGTTATCAAGTTTGAACAGTTATCTAATCCAACAGCAATTGTGCAGCCAAGACATCGGGTACTAAATTCTCCAAAGGTGTTGCAAGGCATTTCCAAGAAGAAACTCCGGTTACTTCCTGTTATGTGTGGGTGCCAAAGTTTCCTTGAATGGAAAAAATTTCAAATGGTCTCCATAATGGTGCCTGTGGTATGTGAGAGAAATTGTTTTTGCAAAAGGAACTAATCCAAACATTGGTAATGCACCAAAGTATGTTTGTGGTTGAATTCCCATTGTATATTGGTCCCACCTGGATAAAAACAATCCAATGGTATGTATTTATATTTGGGTGAATTGCATGCACAATGGGCACAGATATATTATTCAATTTCACGTTCTTCTGCATTCAGTTGTTCCTATACCCATGGTGACAGTTCCTTGTATTTTCACTGTTGTTCGCGAACATACCTCCTTTGGATCTTGCCTTTGCTCGAACAATTCACAAATTCCAGGGCCTACTGCAGGTCCAGTGGATGAAGGAAAAATACCAAATATGTTTTCGTGCATTATTTGTGATCCGGATGCAAAAAAAGCAGAAGGTCGCAGTACAGCCTGTTTTATACTGCTGTTCAAGAGGCACTACCTTAGTGATGATGAAGGCCTTGTTTCTGCAATATATTTCCGTGAGAAAATATCACTACTGAACGCATTCAAGAACTCACTTAAAAACAGCCACAAATATTGAATATTTCAGGTCAAACGCAGAAGGGATTGGGTTCAGCACCTTAACAAAAACACAGTACCCACTGGTGCATGCAATTCAACACAACTTCAAAACACTTTGGCTTGGGTGAATCAAACAATGGAAACCAAGATACCTTATGAGGTCTTGTATCAGCAAACAAAAAAATACTCTCAGTATTTGTCACAGGGCAAGGCAAAGCACACCAGCAAACTTAGCCCAAAGAAAAGAAGGAAAAAACATTGACAGCTGCGCAACCTAACTACAAAGCTAAATATCTCATGAATCTAGTGCCCTATGGGAATGGTATTCAATAAGCTTAAGTTAAATTCAAATTCTATGCAGTGATAGTTCTCCTTAAGTATTTTTTGCCACCATCAACTTGAAGTTAATTCATCATAAATCTATTTAAAGCCACACTTTAACTGGTAACTGTTTTCCAATGGCATCCTCTTATTGCCTCTTATTGTGCTAAATATTGAATCTGGTGCCCAATGGGAATGGTATTCAATAACCTTAACCCTATTACTTCAATGTACCTTAAATCCAAATTTCTATGCAGTCATAGTTTGTCTTAATTACTTCTTGCCACCATCTACTTGAAGGTAACTTACCATAAATCTATAAAAAGCCTCACTTTGACCAGTAACTGTTTTCCAATGGCATGCTCTTATTATTATATCATCATGTATATCATATATACCTAAGTAAAGAACATGCTTGCATAAGTAAATATCCAAGATTTGCCTATGTCACATTTTAGATAAAATGTATCTATACCTGAGGGTTTTTATGCATTAAATAGGACACTTTCCTTTTTGGCTTGCTTTCTGCATTACATTTCTCTAGCTATTAAGATATGACTAATGCTCAATTCAGCTGAAATGCCAGAATGCTACAAAATTAGCTGTATACTCAACATGATAATTCTAGGCGCCACGACACCAGACAGACCCACACGGGGTTGATCAACGGAAGCCTGACGGGGCGCGGGGAAGCATGGAGTTCTCTGAATTTATTGTCCGCGCTTCTTCTTGATGGCACAGAATGATCATCACCATCATCACTCACCATGATGATGATGAAGAAGAAGAAGCTTCTATCGACTATCATTGCGATGATTCGCATCATCATTTGGGTTCGTCTTTTCGCCTCGGAAAATGATCCTTTTCATTGGTCGGAAGTGGGACGAGCTTTGGACTTTGCACTGCGGATCACTCAAGTTCAACTTTGAATTAATTGCTTTATTATTATTTACCAACCAAGCAAACAAACAGAGACAGACACATGATGACGAGAGAAAAAACCAAATTCTGCGGTTGCTTTTGGATCCATTGTGCGCAATGTGTGGCGTCGCGCCAAAAGCTTGGGTTCTACTATTAGCTATCATACGATGGACTCGACTCGACTCGACTCGACTCGACTCGACTCGACTCGACTCTCCCACTACTGGAACTGCTACAGTACTACCGTACTAGTACTGGTACTGGTACACAAGCAGAACAGACTTGATGATGATGAAGGAACAGTCCTCCCACTCCCCACCCTTCTGCTAGTCAAGAAGGATTTCTTCAGCAACTCCCACCCAATAAGCCCCCTGCCAGTTTGTTGTTCCTCCCAATCCAATCCACTATACGAGATCCATAGAATTTTCTGTCTGCGAATGAATGATAGCTATCAATGGAAGACCCTTTGTATACTGGAATGAGAATGCTCCCTTTTTTGTTTGTTTGGAGCGAGGCAATAACTCAGCTTTCTTTTTTGGTACCAGATCTCCAACAACCCCACTGTGATGGCTGCAAGAAAAGAGTTTGGTCATGCATGCCTTTTCCTGCGTCTTCTTCTTCTTCGAACGGAGACATCAAAGATACAATCAATCTCTAGCGTACCCTCAGTCAGAAGCTGCAAACCACAAGATCACCTGGTCTTGAGTCTTGAGAGTGACAGCAGGATCAGAGTGAGTGAGTTAGAAGGAGCATGGGAAGAAACGAATGATTCAATCAATCCAATCGAATAGAATCAGCAGGGTCGACTGGGGAAAACGCTGGGCAACCAAGAGTGGAAAGTCACACCATTCCTTCCGTAATGGTTTAGAGATACCGTACTACTGAATGGTGGCTCACACACACTGATGATCATAGATAGACCTTGGTTCTGTCTTGTCTACATACATGTACCGGTATGATACCGTACTGTAGCTACTAACTAAGTAGCTAGCTAGTAGGGCACTGTGAGAAGGAATTTCTGGGCACTGCAAAGATGAAACAGTACATGTAGCAGCCACGAATGAATGAATCGAATCCAGATAGCCGCGCAGACAGCACCACTTTGAGTGCATTTTGATCGCCAGCAGGAAGTGTTGCTAGTCTACTGGCTGGTTGCGAACGGAGGCCGATGTGCAGTACGATGTAGACATGGGATGACACAAAAGAATAAGCTAAAAATTAAAAGGGGATTCTACGTCTACCTCGTTCTAGCGAGTCCCGGGAGGTTCACCTCGTGAATGCCAACCACCAGCTGGTTTTGGCTCCTCTCGCACTCCCTCTTGAACCGAACGGGGTAGCAAATTTTGTACCGTAGTCCTCTTTGCTGCACAACGATGTCAAACTCTAAACAAACACAAACATGCAATGTAGTGGTAGTGGCTCCATCTCTTGTATTTTCGTAGATCAACCTCGTCCTCGCTTATGTCTCGCTCTCGTCCTCGTCCTGCTCCTCTTCTTCGTCACTGTCGTCGTCAACTTCAATGAATGGCTGCTCAGGGTCGTTCCATTCATAGTCACTCTCCGAGGCGGCGTAGCACGTGGCGTCCTCCTGGGAGAGCACCTTGCGCTGTTCGTCAATGGTGAGACTCCAAAGTTGAACTCCCATGCGCATGAAATGCTGGAGACCAGTTCGACGTTTCGTGACAGAAGGGATACGGGTCTTGTATACAGTGTCTTTCATGAAAGCCACTAGCTTGGAAATGAGCGCGGAGCGACCTCCAATTTTGGTCTCGATGTCGAGTCCGCTCAGACCACGGTCTTCGACCTGGTGGGTTGTAAGGAAGTCCGTGAACCAACGCTTCCCGACCATCTCGACTGTGAGGTTGCGACTGCTATCTTGAGCTGGACGGCATCGAACTAGAACAACAGGCTTGTCGGCATCGAGCTTCGAGCTGTCATTCCCGGCAGGCTTGCTTTCTTGTTTGATCGCGACGGCAGTTCCAGCTCCAGTTGTCTTGAGGACCTTCTTGGAAGTGGCGGCGACGACTTCCACGACGCTGGTTTCGGAGACCGAGTCGTCGTTGTTGGATGCTGCTGGAGTATCGGCGACTACAGCAGCTGGGTTGGCGACCTGTGCGAACAGACCAGGCTGTTCGGTTAGCATAGTGAGGAACTGATTGACGGCAGGGTCTTGTAGCAACGTTCCCACGTCAACCTTGTTAGCGAGGTCGGCCTTAGCAACAGGGGTAACCGCAGTTGGCTTCTGTGGGGGAGCTGGCTTCTTCGGCTTCTTCGGCTTCTTCGGAGGAGCTTCAGCAGCAGCTGGAACTTGCTTGGGGGTAGCCACAAGCACCTTGCGACGGCCCTTTTTGTTGCTTTGGTTGTTCTTTCCACCGGTGCGCTTCATGGTCGATCTCAAGATGGAGTAGATATGCAACAGATAATAAAATGCAGGGTGTGTGCAGCTCGTAGTCGTAGCAGTCCTTCTATTGTAGGTCCACTTCGATTTTGTGAGCCTTCAAATCAAGTTGTTGTTGTTGAGCTCCCTCTGGAGCGAAACCCACTTCGCAAAAACGGTGTTGATTGGCGTGGTTTCTCAGGAGCGTTCCTCAATCGTGCATGACTTTAAATCCGACCCTAATTTAGGGTCGGTTTGGGGGAATCCGTCCTTAAATATAGGGACGGTTTCGAAACCCGACCCTAAATCGAAACCCGTCCCTAAATTAGGGACGTTTTTTCAGAAAACGTCCCTATTTTTCAGAAAACGTCCCTATTTTTAGGGTCGGTTTCGAAACCCGACCCTAATATTGGTGCGTTTCAATGTATTTACCAGGCAGTCCCGTTTCTATTTAGGGACGTTTTTCAAACCCGACCCAAAATCGAAACCCGTCCCTAAATTAGGGACGTTTTTTCAGAAACCGTCCCTATTTTTCAGGGTCTATTGGGTTCGTCGAAACCCGACCCTAAAGGGAATCCGACCCTAAATCCGCCCTATGTCTTAGGGTCGGTTGAGGAACGCTCCTGCGTGGTAGTTTTCGACGTCCAGATGGAAATCAACTTTTGCGCTAGCAACGACTTGAATTTGAAAATTACAGCGTGGAGATCGCGCGCGACGTGACATGGTGACGTTGGAGTGCCCTTGTCGTGACGCAATCAATTTGGTAGAGTTGGAGTTGGCGAAAAAGAAAAAGGAGTTCTCCCTCTTTGGCGAGATCTAGCTTGCGCGCAATCCAATGACGTGCGCACCAGTAGAACGACGCCAACATCTCTCCGCTAGCTCCAACGCGAGACAACATGCAGCTCGAGCCAGAGGAGAGAAAATATCTTACTCCGCGAGCTGAAAAACTGTAGCACGCTACCAGCCCATTAAACGAAGTCGAAGCCGTTCGAAGACTTCTCTCGCTAAGGGTTTGGTGAACATGTCAGCGAGCTGGTCTGCTGTGTCGATTTTCGCCACCTCGAGCTTACCAGGCTTGAGATGACTGCGGAACCAATGCACCTTCACATCATAGAACTTTGAGCGAGGAGTGCTTTGACCTGGTTCCAGGTTTGCCAGAGTTAGAGCTCCCACGTTGTCTTCCCAGACAGTGGTCTTGAACGAGGTCAAGCAATGCTCATTAATGCCCATCCCTTTGGCGACAGCTTTCACTGTGTTGCGCAATGGGATCACCTCCATCATACAGGTGGCTAAGGCATAGTACTCCGACATCATGGTGCTGAGGGCGATGCTCTGCTGCAGTTTGCTCGCCCAGACTATTGGACAGTCATTGAGGCAAATGACAAAGCCAGTCCTGCTCTTGACATTGGCAGGATCGGTCCTTGTCTCCTTCCCATACAGACCCATAAAGTCTGCATCCACATAGGCATCCATCTTGAAGGAATCCGGGGTAATTGGCTTCATTGTGAGGCCTTTCTCCTGGGTCTTCACCAAATACTGGCCAATGCGGATCAGAGCGAGCTCATGGCTCCTCTTGGGTTGGAAAGCAAACCGGGCAGCTTGGCTGACAGCAAAACCTAAATCTGGCCTGGAGTGACCATATAGGTACCATAACATGCCGATCACACTGGCATAGTTAAAGGTGCAATTTGCTGGATCGCCAAACTCATCTTTTCCCAGAGTTTCAGTCGCAGGGGTGTCCACACCAGGCATGTCCTTACATCCCAATGCATCAATGATTCTAGCAGCCAAGCCAGACTGAGTCAAGGTTATCTCTCCAGTTTCAGCATTTGGCTTGATCTGCACCCCTAGGAACCCAGCGACATCATCCTCCTCTTCCAGCACCATTCCTCTAGCTCTCAATTTCGCCAGAACTTCATCAATGTCATCCTGGTTTCGAGCATAGAGTAAGGTGTCATCGACATAGACCAGGCAGATAACTTTGTCCGAAATGAACAGACAGGGGTCTACCTCAGTAGCAGGGGTGAATCCAACTGCTTCTAGGTTGTTTTTAAGGAAATTAAAAAAGTTGCGCGGTGCCTGTCTGAGACCATAGAGGCTCTTCCTCAGCCGTAAGACCTTGCCATCCTTTGCAAAACCCCTTGGCATCTCAACATAGACTCCTTGTCTGGCCTTCTCCTCTTCGGACATAAGATCGTACCCTGGAGGATTGTCAATGTCTGCATGCACAAAGGCAGCAGTGTAGTCAACCTGTCTAGTAGCTAACCCCAGTTGGACTGAGAGGATCAGCAACAGACGGACTGTTGTCCAGTTGACCACTGGAGCATACGTTTCAAAGAAGTCTACTCCATGAATTTGCTTATCACCTCTAGCACAGAAGCGTGCTTTCAGTTTACGCACCAGACCAGTTGGAAAGCGTTTGATTCGGAAAGCCCAGGTCCCAGGAAGAACATTCATCCAGGACTTGCGCGGAACCTCATCCCAAACTCTCATTGACTTGAGAGTGTCAATCTCCTTCTCACATGCTTTCCAGAAGCCATCCTTCTCAGGACTGTTCATGGCTTCTTCCCAGTTGGGAGTGTCTGGGTCATTGGCTTTGGCTGCCAATGCAAGTGGGTTCCATTCTTCCATGGTTCCCTGACAGGATCATAGGAAGCTAACATCTCTGCCATCTGACTCCTGGTGTCGGATGACTTCAGGGCAGAGAGAGCTGTCTCCCATGTGAGCCCATTAGAAAGGCCATTTCTCTTGTCATAATTCCTCACCTTCTGGAAGGGTTGCCTCCTGCTTGTACCGTTGTTGTTGGTGTCAGGACAGGAGGCTTGTCAGGCTTCTTGGTGTAGCCGCAGAAAGTAGCTGCATACTTAGGATTAGGCTTGACGCGGCGTCCAGCACGGTTGTGACTGGAGGTTCATCTCATCTTCATTCTCTGAGTCCGAGAGTTCAAGTCTGTCTCTTCTCCCTCTGGAACGAGGAGGCAGTGCTTGGTCATCGAATCCAGGAAAGTTGAAACATGTCAGAAAGCAGGCCCTATGTCGACATGCAGATTGCTGAATCAATGGCATCAATGGACGCTGGAGTCCTCCGGCTTCCAGAAGACCAACCAGGTCTCTGGATCAAACACATCACCGGTAGCCCCCCAGGACGGTAGAAAGAGCTCATCAACACTACATGAAACTGGGGACTAATGTGACCAGTCTCAGGATTGAGAACTCGAGCTACTGTGCTAGCATGATCCATGGAGGCACCAAGGTAGATACCAAGGCGCGACTTGCGTTGCCACTTAGGAATAGCTTCGCCATTCTGTAGAGTTGGGTCCAGCACATAGGTGGGCACCCGAACACCCGAGCTTGTTGTATTGTTCATAGTTGGGAAGTTTAACCCAGTAAACAACTCAACTGGAGCAATCCGTTCGCTCCCGAGGCATATGATTCCACAGATAGACAGCTTGTTCCATAGCAAAGGGCCACAAATCACCATTGAAGGCGTGGGGCAATGAATCAAGAAATGCATAAGCATAGCTCTGGCGTTGTGAAGACAGTTTGCTGTGCCCTCTCGGCGACACCATTTTGGAAATGGGCACCAACGCGCTAAAGGTCAACCTTTGACTTGTGCTTTGACGTCTGTTGTAAACTCATCAGCAGCAAAAGGTGATTGTCTGCATGGTACCCTTGGATGCGTAGCCCAAACTGCTTGCATAGGCTTCCAAGGCATGCTTACCCTTCAGAGTTTGCTCAACAGTCAAAGAGGTTTGATGATGAATCCACATGAATCCAGTGGCGTGATCAATAAAGATAGTGCCACCCACATACTTGTCCTGGTCGGACTCCTTGCCTTTGGTGTGGGCACGGCGACCAAGGATAGGACTGTGGTATTGGTCCATCGAGATGAACTGTGCTGGTTTCATGTGCTTGCGCCTGATAGCCATCTCCTGCTGGGGTCTGCGGGAGCCAATGACTTTGTTGGGTGACCGCCTTGTAGCCTTAGCTAATTGACAGGCAGGACACTTGGGGGTGGTGCAGCTGCGGGTAGAGTCTAGTTTGGTGGGTATCACTGGAGGCTGAGCCTCCTCACCAAAGTCTCTCTTAATAGACCGCATGAGAGTTTGAATGAGACCAAAGCCAACATGACACAAACGGTAATGCCACAAGCTGAGCTCTTTCTGGTCAGCTCTCAGGTTGATGTTGTTGTCATCCATCAAGCGAGCAGTGAGCTCTATAGAGTCTCCATTCTTCATGTTCAAAAGACAGTGAGAAGACAGTCCTGCTGTCTCACTCCAGTCTTGAAACATCATGGGCAGGTTGCTCCCATGGTTGTATGGGAATTCACCAGTGGAACCATCAGGGGTATTGTGTTGGAGGTTGTATTACAGACACCTCAATACAAATTAGTCGTTTATCCCAATCTAGTTATAGGGGATATCTATATCTATTCTCTAGTTACATACATGGGGAGTTTAACTGACCTATATGGTCACCCCCTTCACTATATCCTTTGAAGTTGAATCAATCCCAGAAAACATGGAGAAAGATCACTTCTTGGAAATTACCGCCAGCGTTCAAATAATTTCTTTGGAGAGTGTATTGAGTTTTACACTCAGCACCTCCTCCCCCTTTCATGGAGTGTGTATTGTGGCATCCAAAGCCACAGCACCTCCTACTACCTTTTATGGAAAGTGTATTGTGCAACTAAAACACAGCACTTCCTCCACTGATTACAGGCAAACCTGAGGCAACACCAGCCTCTAGGTAGGCAACAACAGATACCATTACAAGACCATGCCCTTGCTATTTGATCACAGCAAGTGCACAGGAGTGTGAGGGTACCCAAATCCAAAACCTACAATCCTACAAACAAAATCATCATAACATCCGCCTTTATAGGCAATGCCGCAACCATCAACGGCACCAATGGCCACAACTACACGGGCGACAACCATCAATGGCTACATCAACAGCCAGCATCGATGGCAACAACAGCCAACAACGGCATCTACCACTACCAAACCGATTACAATGAATCGACCAAACCAAATTCGAATTGCATCTACAA